CTAGTTCTTTTTTCTCTCACTGCCAGAGCTACATAGATCAATTAATCAGAGTTTCTGCTCCAGGGCATTACTCATTAGCTCCTAAAAAGCTAATTGTTAACAAAAGTCATGACATTATTATTGCACTTGTACTCCGAGTTGTACTCCAACATGGCGGATGTAATAATTGGTCACGCCTACTGCAACCTATCTATACTAGTGGATGGCTCTCTTCTGCTCGGTCGGCAACACTACCAGAGGAAGGAGAACCCAGTGGAACAACAGGAGCAGCTAACAGAAAAGTGGGAAGGGTTTAACGATACGCCAAATTTAATAGTCGCTAATTTGACATTTAAGCATAAACGCTAAATAAAATAGCCGCTAATATTAATAGGTTTACAGTAGAATCAGACATAAATTATAATAATAACTATTACAAGAAAATGAAGCAAAAGAAAACAAAATAGAAATAAAATAATTCAACTGAGACTGTGTTGTGCACATCATCAATATTATTACTGTTTGGTGGTACGTGAGACCCTCTCATTAATAAGGGATCATCAAAATGAAATTAAATATTAATTAAACAAACAATGCAGGCATTACTTATAAGAGTGATTTATAAAGTATCTGTGAGTGTCTGGTTCACGACATTGCTCCATAGACATAATGATATCTTTAGATAAAATCCTACGCTGTTTCGGTCTGTTAGTTCTTGAAGTCGACTAAAGAAACAAGAAACTGTTACTTGTTGCTCACCCTCTCATGCAGGATGCCGTCCAATTGTAAAAAAGGGGGATGGGTCTGGCTACGCGAGACTAACTGCCTCTAGGTGTGTGCTAATAATGAAGCATATACTGTCACATCCTCTCTCTCCTTATCACTCTCTCTCCTTACAGGTGAGTTAAATACAAAAGCTATTAAAGCATTTCCACCACTAGGGCTTGCCTAGAAAAAATAATTGAACTGATAATTTATAGTGCAGATAATAGATATACATGTACATGCAATCATGTGACATTCATATGTACATGTACAATTCTACATTATGGTTCACACATGCAATTTATGATCACAACCATAACAGTGTACATAATGTGGGGGATTACATGTATGGTTTGTGTGCGTTTGTGGTGTTATACATGTAAGGTGTGAGAGATAGGGAAAGATACTTACTGAAGAGCTCTCTCCTCCAAAAGCAGTAGTGGCTGTTCTCTTTCTCCTTCCAATAGCAGCCAGTGCTTGTACATTAGCAGATGATTAGCTGCTTTCTGGTGTATCTCTCTCTCCTCTGCTATTTGGATCTATTGTACAATGTAGACCAATAACAGCAGCAATAGTTAATAATACATGTACATGTAATAATAATAATAATAATAATGATAACAACAACTGTACTTTCTACAATAATAATAATAATGATAATAATGTGGCTGAGTTGCACCTTTCCCTCGTGGATGGACTACCCTAACTGCAATATTTTTGGCCTTGTATTGTTTGTCTTGCTTTTGTTTTTTTGTTGTTGCTGC